GATCCAATCATCTTCGATCGAAACGACGTGCGTCGAATTTCTGCGCCCGACGAAAATTTGCGATACGATCTCGTACGAATGAAGAGTAAACTTTCAACCCCGAAGAAAAGCGCGATTTAACGAGCCTCTACATTTAAAAAGATAGCTTTAGAAAAGAAGTTTAGTGATTTTTTAATAGAAATAATTTTTAAACATAAATATACGATGTGTGTGTGTGTGTGTGAATTATATAATTGTAGGACGACAAAAACTTTATCAACGTGCATTGCAGAAAAACTCAAACGCATAACGCGATCGTAACCGCAGTTTTGATTCTGTGATTTTTCGGGTCTCGGACTCGACTTTGAGAAATTCAGTCATCTCGGCTATATAGAGACGAAGGAACGAACAAACTCAAAACACGAGTGGAACACGCGTTTCCAGAGGGAATTTGTATCTGCGGAAATCAGCAGAAGTTAGGATCCGGGCGAGTAGTTTCGCGGTCGAAAAAGTCCTCGCGGGGGCAAAAGAGAAGGAGATTGAGTAGTTCGAGGTGGCATTCTCTCGTCTCTCCGTGGTCTTTCCGATATATATATATATATAAAATCCGACCGGGGACAGAAATCGGAGAACGAAGGGTAGAGACAGGGACGAGGTCGTAGAACGAGGAGGAGAGTTCGCGGAGCGTTCGGTACGACGACGGTGTGTGACGGGACGTCATAAAGTCCCATTTGTGCCGATAAAAACAAACGGCACGGAATACGTACGTCGATATAAAGAAAAGAAGAAAAAAAAGAGGAAAAGGTCAGCACGCGTGCGCGATGGAACGGAATGGGAAATATCGGCAGGGGGATCCAGCCACGATCGAACCGATCGTTCCGACGGTCCCGGCTTCTCACTAAATTCGCAATATACGATCCCGGGAAACCAAAACGAACCAGCTTTCACGACATCGCGGAGAGGTACCTTCCCTCGGTAACGATACGATCGAAACTCAGACGAACGCGCGTCGTCCGAGAAAACGAGGGAGATATTGGTCGAGACATTCGTTTTAAAGGAGCCGAGAGACGCGCTGCTGATATAGGATGTATATACATGTACGTGCAGATGTCTATGTATATGCACGATTGTCAAAATAAGTCCGCGACGATCGGTCCCCGACGACTTTGAGAAATTCAGCCGTCTCTTCGTTGCGATTCTCTCTCTTCCTTTCCATCTCTTTCTTATTCTCTACTTTCTGACAAATCCGTTGCCCTATGCGCGAATCGATCTTCAAGATTGGATGAGCTCCTCCGATAGTCGTGAAGATCGATTTGCTGTAAATCTTCGCGACGTTCGTCGGTGCATTAGAGATGCTGCGATTCGAAAGGAAAATCCATTTTCCATTAGAAGATACGAAAACTCACTTTTAAAAATAATAAACTCCGATACTATTTTTGTTTAGTAATTTGAAAATTAATTATATGGTTTACAAGAAATTATTGGACATAAATTATATAGATTTGCATATTTGAAATATTGATTATTCAGATATGAACGCGTTCCATTCAAGATACACGTGCGCGTATTCTTGGTATATTCTCGTGTGTATTAGCATCGAGACATTTTCGACAAGTTTGGGATACCCGATTAATATGTCATTCAATATTGGACATCGGATAGCCTTTCGCACGGTCTCGAGAGGTTGCCGATCTCTTCGGGGCTATGGAATACGCGATCATATCGCGAATGGCAACGTCCGCGTGCGAACCGATGTTCACTTAGCGCGAGAATTTATGTGACGATGGACAAACCGGAAATCGAAAGTCCCGCGCGCGGCTCTTGCGACACAGACTCGCAATCTTCTTTCAGCGCGCTCGCGCAAAGGTTAAATAAAAAAAGCGAGCCTATTCTCGCGAGGCCCGTAAGAGCTTGCTTGCCTCGAGGTTACCGGCGTTATTTACAACTGGGAGAGCATGTTCACCGAAATCGGGAATAAATTATTTATCGCGCAGCTGCTCGTCGCCGCGACTTTGTCATAAACGCCCGAGCAGCCGGCACGGGCCGTAATGTCAGCTGTATTTTAACACTAACAGAGCCGAACCGGTTATTTTGACGTTTAAAAGAAAAAGCCTTGTCCTTTAATGCATTAAAGACTCGCTTTCGATATATTCCGCAGCTAGGTGACAGAGGAAAAAATAAATTAGCCGAGCGCAGAGTAACTTTTTATGTTTTCGCTGCTCAATTTTTTTATCTACACTGGTCTAGAAAAAATTTATAATACGAAACGTTTATATCGAGAATCGCTTTACGTCATACAGAGAAATACAGAATTCTCGAGAAAGCGCGCGGAGTAAGTTCGCAAAAGGTGCTCGAGTAATTGTAGAATCTGCCGGATGCAACTTGTCCGCGAGAGGACAAGTGACGGACGCCGGTCTTGGTTCGCGATCGTCCTCGCGATCGAGGACCAATCTCGAGCACGCATGCACGTCCGATCTCTCGTCCTTCGCTCGACGATGTCCTCTCATCGTCATCGTCGTCGTCGTCGTCGTCGTCGTCGTCGTCGTCTTCGTTTCTTACTTTGGATCTCTCGATCTCCAGGCGGATCTCCTCTCGCGCATACACACACACACACACACACACACACACACACACACACACACACATATATATATATACACATATAGCGCGATTCTCCGCTCTTTGCTCCGTTCCATCGCTTTCTTATATACCTTTATACCTTTCCCAGTAGTCCTACAACGCTGTCAACCGGCGCGAGCGATAATGCTCCGATGTGAGATAAGGGCGAAACCTTAAGAGACTCGCGGACGAAGTCCTCGGAAAGACATGTAGCAGAAGTTACGTTCGGTATACGTATATTGTACATAAGCGACCAGATCGAAGATCTACTTCTCGGGATACTACCGTCCTTCGCCTCGTGTACGGACACTTATTTCTGCGATATAATATACCTTGCGATACCGTTTACGGAGCCCGAAAATGCATAAGGTAGATCGCAAAGTGTGCGCAAACAAGTACTGTATCTCGCTTATTAAGGACACCATACGATACCATGATGTATTCCCAGAGAGAACTCAAAGTTGATCACATTTATTCGATAGAAAATTATTCATTTGTAGGGATTTATCAAAAATGGAAAAAGTTTCTATAATAATTCTTTACACATGAAATAATCTTCTTATACGAAAATCTTATTATTTTTGATATAAAAACTGTTATTTATTATGATTATAAAAAAGGAAAATTTATATTTATTATATGTGAAATATCAGCTCTGATGTCAATATTCTTTTTTATCAAAAATTTTATTTTCTGTGAATCTCTACAAATTAATGGCCGGCAATATATATACATATATTGATAGTATACACATGTGAGCTTGTCGTTCCACTTACAAATTTAGTCAGCAACTGGCTATCGATCGACGATAAAATACGTTGGATATACGGCAAGATCGCGCGCCGGTTGTCTTTTTTACTTCGTTAACGTCAAAGTTATTAGGCGTTCTCTTTTCGAAAGTTGCTATACTCGCGCAACGAGGTAGGCAAGAGACATTCCGAAGGCAGAGAGCACACGTCGCAAGGTAGCACCATTCGGGACGAAGGCCTGGGATTTTTTCTTTTTTTTTCGGTCGATGAGAGAAGAAGTAGGCGCTTAGAGTGGTACGTATAGAGATATATATACGCGCGCACTTTCTCTAGGCCGTGCCTCTCTCGAAAAGCCGATATATACTCGGGCCGCCGAACTCAGAAAGGTGGGTCCCGGTGACAAGGCCCCTTCGATGTCACCAAACTCGTTCCACACCGTTCAAAGACTGTACGATCTGCCCAGCCCACTTTACGACTCTCCTTCGCCTCGTCGTGTCGCGAGTATCCTAATACAAGGTAACGATCTCTGATTTCTGGGACATTCTAAAACCTTCTTACGTAACGTCCGCCGATAGAATGCGAATTTTATTCGTCGTTTATGCAATCGTTAAGCCATTCGCGCCCGGCCTTCTCGGTGGATCTCTCATTAAAATACGCGACGCGTTTACTACCCTCTTCTAGATGCTTTCCTATCAAGTTATGTAAACCGGCTTGATAACGCGAGGTAATATCTGTATTATATTGTATAAACCGAATGTGAACGAGCTCGAAACGAGCTTGCCTCGCTTACGAATTTGTAAACAATATTACGCGCGGCTAATCATGCTAATATTTGTTATACCGTAATCTCGCGCGATGATGCCTCAGTTTGCGCCAGTGTCACGTGCATTTTACGAACGTACGCGATGCGCATTATTTTTTGATGATGTCATTGTCATGATTTATATTCACCTCAATGGGGGACACTCCGCATTAAACTGACAATTATAATCGATAGTAATGGAGCATTTACGTAAGACCGGTTAGGTCAGTAGATAAACACGCTCGACAGAGATTCCGTATGTTAATGGCGTTTAAGAGATACATTTGCGCTATCCTCAGCTTCTTTGATCTCACTTATATTTAATGCGCAAGTTGGTAACGCAATATGATTCTCGAGATAATTAATGCATCCACGAATGTGCGATGCATAAACGCAACACCTTCCTTCTCTCATCCGTCCGGCTCCTTTATGGACACGAAAGCGCACGAGTCTTCCTTTTAATCGCGTATACATAATTAATTGCAGTGCTCTCGGTCTATCATCTGTCTCTCTTTCTCCCCACTCTCGTAATCGAGTATTTAATACGATTACTGAAACGTGTCAATTAGCTTTGCAATCTTTTTTCTCTGTCTATGAAATACAACAAATATATATATATATATATATATATATATATTTTTTTTTTGTTTTATTAATGTATAATATATAAAAGTTATATATATAATATATTTTTATAGATGTATAGGTTTTAAATTTTGTTTTGTTTAAAATAATGCTAATAAAGGAGCGTTTCATTCTCTAATCGACACATTGCACTAATTGCCACATCATTTCCGGTGACAATTCTTTCTGCCGACGTTTACACAGGTCTTTCACGATTTATGTTCTAGAAAAGCAGTGGAGATCCGGAAGGATACTTATTGCATCTTGTAAAACCGCGATCTTCCAGATGGTGGACGTCTTTCCCCGTAGAAAGGAGCGAGACAGTGCAGGTTTTAACGTCCTTTTTACGACCCTTTAAAATACCATGGTCGCGGTAGCTCTACCGGGCTCTCTTAATTATTTTACGAGAATTCCGACGACAATGCTCAGTAGCAAAAACAAGCGGTAACACCTTGTCTACCTCTTGGCTTGCAAGCCATAGAGATTACGAGCAAACGCGTACAGTATAGCGAAGTCAAAACTTGGACGATATACTCTCTCCAAAACTGTGAACCAGCGATAATCAACGGCAACAAGCGACGCGTGACCCGGAGAGAGCATCTCTGTAGTTTGATAGAATTATTTTTACACGCATTTTTACAGTAACGGCCATTAAAACGATCGATACGTCGATGTATGCGCGAAATAACGGCGACAAAATAACGTTTGTTTATTTTTATATTTTTTTATCGCAGTTTTTTATCAAAGTTAGCACGAACCTGTCGCACTAAATTTTATTAGTTACGTTATTCCCGTTGATTGATAACGACCCCGGGACTGATTAAATGGAAGAAGCGATCGTAATGTCGCTAATCACGGACGCATACTTTGCCGAAAGTTGCCGACGATTTTACGACATAAACCGTCCATATCTGTGTCACGCGAAAGAATGACGAGGAGATTCGCGCATGAATAATGCATTGACCCGTACGACATCGGGAAAGAAACATCATCGGGCACGCGAGGTCGTCGTACCTCAGAAAATTAATAATTTTCGACTTTCGTCTCAACCGGTCGAAATGCGCGCAATTAATCACGCCGATGTTCGCAATAGCTTCTCCCAACGAAATGCGATTTCGCCCCTTGTCAAGGAAAATCGAAAATATTTGTTTTATTTAATTTATGAACACTGAAATTTTATGGCCACGATTACCATTGATGTGGCTGATTTATCGAAGAAAGAAAAAGGTCGTCTGCGTCCGGCTAATTTTTAATCGACCGCGACTTTTACGCGTCTCTTCTGTCCGCGTCGACGCGGAATTTCAAAATCTCTAGAGCCCCGGAGGGCCCGTTTAACTCCGGTATGGCTAATAATAGACCGTCTAAGTGTAGGGCCTACAAGATTCTACGGTACATTTACATTTTTACGGTAATCCTGTCTATCGAAACTTTGATCGAATGTCTATCTAATTTTCAAACTAATCGTACCTTTTTATATTATTTTTATAATGTTATATTTTTATATTTTATAATTTTTAATAATACTTGAAAATATTCAAATAATTTTTATTTTATATATAATATATGCGTTTCTCATGTAATATCGTAAATTTTCTCATATAATAATTTTAATAATTTTTCGTTATCTTTCTATTTAACACACAAAATCTGAACTTATGTATTAATTAAATATTTAACAATTTTGATCGAAAATTCCAACGAATCGAAATTTACAGAATCTGGAGTGAAACGGGAGGAATTAGAAAACTCGCCCTAATTCCGAAAATTAGGTCCTTATCTTCGACGGGTCCGCGAATAAAGGCGGGAGACCGGTGCGGCCGCGCCACGTAGAAGAGAAACAAATAGGACCTCGGCCCAATTAGGGATTTATTTATGCGTCGGTGGGCATATTAAACGGGTGAAAATATGAAGGCAAAAAGAGGAGAGAAAAGCCGCGGGAACGTGTCCACCCAATTCGGAGCTGGCCGATCGTAGATACACGTCGCGCTTATAAAGATCGTAGCAAGCAGGGCCTCGTTAACGAACTGCCAGGGCACTTAAGCATAAATTGCAGCTTTGAGCCGTCTCTCTCGTGGCGTGTTCCCGGACACTCGCTTGTGCGTGCAGCCTCGCTTTCTCGCCTTAAATCCGCAACCGACCATCTTGGTCGTCTCGCAATTTCGACGCTGCGAAACGATCGTTTCTCTCGTATGTGTGACGCCGCCACCGAAATTAAGCGATTCGGTTATATTAACGCGCGTGCCTCTCGATCAAGGACCGATCGGATCCTGTACAAAGAATGCGTTCGTTCGTAGAAGTGAAAATCGCGAACGCTTCCGATCGACGAATCGATTAAACAGAGGAAGGGTATTCAGTAAATTAGCATCGAAAATATTTCTGGAAATTTTCAACCGTTTCAATCCAATATTTGTTAATGAGAAAATCGAAGGCCGCTTATCGAAATGTTATACCTTTTTATTGAAATATTTTTCCGAATAATTCTATAATTCACTTTATACAAGCCGATACTTTTCATGTACCGAGCAACGGTTCTCGGATTCTACGACCTACTTACGAACCCAATTTTCGCTTTGTGAAAAAGCGGAGGAACAGTCGTAGCGTGACTGACAGGGACCTCTCGTCCTCTCGCGCGTGAAGAATGGCAAGAGGAAGACTAGAAGGAGGGAAAGGAGAAAGAGATGCGGACGGACAATGTCGCCTCGTTTATCAGAACGGCATTGTGGGGGCCATCGTTGCCCTTTTCGACACACCCTTTGTTAGTTATATCCAGACTGCGAGAGCCCCGAGACTGCTCAATCCTTTCTTTCATTCACTCTCCGAGAGACTCTTTTCATTTTTCTTCTCTCGCTCTTACATCGCCACGTAACAAGAAAGTCCTCCTGTCCGAGGGAGGAAAAAAGGAAGAAGGGAGACGGAGATGCTGTCGCGCTCTTCGCGGTTATCTCTTTAAAAAGCAATTGTACTCGAAAAAATGGTTCTCCGCTATCTGGAAAACGGATCGCCCGACTTGAAGATGGAAGGTTGAGTCATGCCTATACAAGTGCGAGTATCGGGCATATCTATCTCAGATATAACACTTTTTTTTTTTTAAATAAGAACTAATATTTTTCAATAGTTCTCCAATATCAAGTTTATATTTATGCATATAATCAATTAACTTTTCAAAAATAATTTATATAACAAATTTCAAAGCAAATTTTCATAAAATTTTATATTTATCTACAATATTTTTCTATTTTTTTTCATGTAATTATAATTGTAGAAATAAATAATAAATTTATATATCGAATAATTGTTATAGGGACATTAAATAATACAAAATATTTTGCCGTTGCATATGATTCATTACTCCGAGATCAAAATAAAAAAAATATTTTAGTACTCACCGATAATATGATACGTGCAATGTCGGAGTTGTAGTACACATACACGTTGATCTGTAAAATATAAATAAATCCAAATTATAAAGTAATGCTCAAAATAATGAATATTTTAAAAAGTAATTATTATGCACAATTAAGTCTATTAATATAATTAAATTTGTACGTAATTAATTTTTTATTTTCTCTCCTTTTAAATAGATAATGAATGAAAAAATTTATAGCTTCCAAATAAGAATATTCAGATTAAAATTAAAAAAAAAAAAATATATATATATATATATATATAATGTATAATTATAAACATTTTATGAAATATTTTTAAAATACTTCAGAATAAAATCTGAATGATTTTATTACATTAAATGATATACTTAAAATTAATTACTATCGCAAAAACAAGCAAACAATTATTTTTAAAAATAAAATAAAATTTTAAATTACCACACACGGTTGCTCCACCGTTGCCCGATGCCTCCCTGGGCCTCCTCTTCCTCTCTTGTTTGTTGTCCTTTGTTGTTTCTTCATTACACTCACACTCACTCGCGAAAACATAGTTAATTACGGACGCGCGCGCACTAATCGATAAAATACGATGATCGCACGACACTTTGCACGGCACTCCCGACGCGTTAATTATGTAATACAACACGCACTTTATTATATTTTCGGAAGAATAATTCGAAAACTGTATCCGCCCGACATATAATTAATAGCGATTGTATTTAATAATTAAACGTAAAGATGTAAACGTAATATCAAAACGTAAAACGATAACAACGATTTTACTCCAATATTGTATGATACAATGTAAGTTTATTATTAAGATGCGTCGATTATCTGAAAACATACAATAAAAATTCGATATATGTATATATGTGTGTTTCGTACATAAAAATTATATGAAATAACGCTATTATTATATAAATCATATTTGTATGTTAAGACTTTTCTTAATTATAATACTTAAATTATTCAATGTATTACCTCGTATTCTTGATTCGAGATAAATATGAGCAAATTATATTTAAATTGAAAAGTGTTTAATTATATATTTTTAAACAGAAGAAATATAAAAATGTCATATATTAAATAAATAATTGTCATTAAACTCAGGATGAAACAATAACTTATAATTCATCTCTATCGATATATTTATAAATGGTAGAATTAAATCACAGTTGATAATCTATAATTATAATAATTTTAAAAAACACTCTCTCCCCTTCTTTCAGCATTTCCCAGTAGCATCACAATAGTATTTAGAGAGATATTGAAACGACGACACACGAGCGATTCGGATTGCTACTTTCCTTCTCGAGATTCACCGCGCGAATAACAACAAGGTCGCGACAAGTCTCGTGAACAATAACGCACTACGTCATTGTACGTCATAGTAAAAGATATATAACATATTACATATTTCTATTCGTTATTGGTATGCCTCGCTTTGGAATGCACTACTGTTTACATATTCGTGTGAGAAGACTCATCGTAACGGCGTGACCTTGTCAGTTACGCGATGCGCCTCGAGCAAGAAAGCGATTCGCTGTCATTTCAATATCTTTCTAAACACGACTGCGACAAATGCTATTAGGAGATTCCAAGAGCGCGATCGTTTTTTGCAAATGGTACAATTAGAGATTATCAACTCGCATAATTTATTAATTCCCATTTGTAAACGAGGATTGAATTTGCTAGGAAATGTTTATCGCAAAATTCGTAAGAAATAAATTCATAAGAAATATTCTATTCTTTTATAGGTATTAATTACTGATTGATGTGCTATTACGTTGATGTATTAATACTTTTTGTTATTTGATTTACTTTATTTTGCTATATTGTATGCTCTTACTCCGAAAACGGCAAATGACGTTTCAGTCGGTGAATAATGTAAAACTTCACTTTCACATTAATCAATCATATGAATTGATAATTATAATTGTTAATTATAGAATAATTATAATAATTAAAGAAAATAATTGCGTTTCCGGGGTATAATGCGACGAATCAAAGTAACAAAGTATTATAAATTACATTGTGATATTTTGGATGACTAATTATTTTTTTAAATATGCTTGGATTCAAATATCATATTTCCTATTTTGGGTTTTCAATTCTTCATTTAGCTGTAAATTACTAATCATTTATGCGTAGTACGAATCGCAAAATCGATGTTAAAATAACGAATAGTCAGCATTGCGCACATCAATATCAATTAATTAATAATTTATATAATAATAAAAGAATAGAAATATTGCACACAAATCTATTTTCTAGCGCGTGAAATATGTATTTCGTCGTGGTAACAAATTGATTGTCATGCGGTATTCGACCTTCGCTTTTCGCGGCGTATAGAGCGCTGTTGTTGACATTCCTTGGCCTTGTCATTTGCGTCGCGAGACTCGAGTTAGAAGGTAGTAACGCGTATGTCGTAGAATTATTCAAAATGCGAAAAATATTTCTTTTATTAACTTTTACAATTACTAATTGTCACGCGATTCAATCATTCTTATGATTAATGACTCATAAACGTATTGATAGGAGATTACAGACATAAATATATTTTATTCCGATATTTATGTTCATAATTATTTCTTTAAATGCTTAAATTTGAATATATCTTGCATCGTGTTTTAAACTTTTCATCAATTTAAATATAATTTGCTCATAATTATCATATCGAGAGTATGGAATAATATGCATATCATCGAATAACTTAAGTAACGAAAAGCCGGTATTTACATATCACATTGTAATCTGTTAAAATGCGTATTTCGCGAGATTTATTTGCTCGAAGTATAAATAATGGACATTGTATAAATAATCTTCAAATTCAATTGTATTTTTCAATACATTGTACATTTTTATTTTAAATTTTAACTTATATATTTATTTACTTATATATAGTACATTATTATGCGAGATAATAGAATTGTTATAAAGTGCCATTTATTAAAAAATAGAAATAATATTTCCACGGTATGTATTATGTAAATTTGGTCGCGCAATTTTAGGTAGTCGTCCATTTTTGCGCGTTTTTCTTCTGTCATAATATAAATATGCATTTTATAATCAGAAGTGTAGTTCAAAATATCATGCAAATTAACCGCATTTTCATGATTGAATATTGTGTGCTACAAGGATGAACAAAAGAGGAGAAGGAAGCTTGGGCACCAACAGAGCAGCGTGGTATAAGCAATTTATAATTGATTAATTTATATGTTATTTGTAAAATTAATTATTTTTTTGCGAGTATAATAATCTAAAGTTTATACACGTTCTTAGAATATATATAAAATATGCTAATTTTTATTTTGAGTTGTTTAAAAAATTGTTAAATGTCAATGTTAAATGTCAATTCATGGGTTTTTAATTATATATTTTTGTACTTTGTAACGTAAAAACTGTGAATATGTTAAAAAAAATGTAATCGTATTTGAAATAAAATTATACGCAATATTGCTATGTAAAAAGAAAGATAATTTATACTTTATAATAATACAATGACTAATCTTTACTCCAAAAAAATAATTGCTAAGCATTTACTCATTTAACAATGCTGGAGTCATTCTCGATGTGATATATATTGCATATAATGCAAGAATTATCCGATATTTTTATCGACACTTTTATGAATCTATGTTTATTTAATAGCAATATTTATTCTCGATGGTTTAACTTTTTGCTGAGTTTATTAATACTTACTTTAATGACTCGGAATTATAAAATCCTGTAGAGTTAATTGGCGGAACTGTCGCACATTTGCACTATCGACGCAATGTACTATATTTTAATGTTGTACGATACTTTTTTTCGACACTTTTGATATAATATACACTACTTTACTTGCAGATATAACCAACACGTATTTATTAACATATTTATTCTCAATTGAAAATAATAATTTAATATACATAAGTATAATCGAGACAAGAGTGATTCTTATGATCGTACTATCATTATATAATTATGATTACAGCAATCGCAATTATTACTACAGCGATCAATAAACTTTTTTTCTTTCAATACTCACAGTGGAATTAATTGATTACGTCCTTTAAACGCTCACAATGCGCGATTATATCTGCACAAATGTCCTGACGCCGCACATAATCCCGCACGATATGATCTAACTTTCCTGATCGCGCGCAATTTCACGCCGGTTCGATTCCGAAATCGCGCGCGCGATTTCAATTCCGCGTTCCACTTTGTGGCGCCAGTCCGATTTCGAGAGTCCGAGCATGAATTATGCGAATCAAATATGTCTGTCGCAAAGTGTATTATTATGTATGTCGCAAAGTATATTATTATGTATGTCGCGATGTACATATATCACCTTAATTTGACGTTTAATGAAAATTAACGCTTGTTTGTGTTTTATGACAGCCATATTTGATTCGTGTAATTCATATTCGGAATCGAACTACAGTGGTACCACAGAGTCGGAACTAGAGAAAGACGGCAAAAGGACGGCGTTATTAAATGCGTGCAGTATAAGAACGACAAAAAAAATCGGAAAAAAATAAGTATCTGATTCTATTGTTCTCTTTTAATAACGATGTCCTTTTGCCTCTAAGCGTGCAGTTTATCGATATAAATGCGGATTTAATTACACATCGTGCGTGAAGTCTCGGAATCGGATCAGTGCCGTAACACAATCAAAAGATTAGTTTATCATTTGCAATTATTTTGTGAAAACTGTGTATCGCGAAATTAATTGGTTACTATAATTAATATTAGAGTCAACAATTACATTACGATATTACGATCATAAGAATCATTGTTTTATTACATTGAATTGCGATTTTAAAGTAATACTTTCTGCAAATGTATGTATATCGGGAGTGCGAAAAAGACGTATTATCGTACAATATTATGCATTAGTACAGTATATATATATAGTGTCGGTAGTGCGAACGTGTGACATTTTCGACAATTAATTCCACGAGATCGTAGCTCCAGGCATCATTAAAGTAAGTATTAATAAAATTATTAATCGAAACAGAAGTGATAATTTCTTCAACAGATACGAGTTCCATGAAATATATAAAATATGTATTTTTTAAAATTAAGAAGCCATGTATTAAACATTTTTATAAGATATTTAATAAAATATATTTACAATAAAAATGTAAAAATATATTTATAATATTTAATACGTGCATATAAAATTATAAGAATAATTTATAAGAATTACATTTTTAGTTATTAAATTTTTATATTTTTTATTAAAAATTTGAATTGTGCAAAAACTTTGTATTTTTAAAAATAAAATATATTTAAATAGTACAATTTTAATTGCACTCAATAATAATTTTGTAAAACATTAATTATTTTAAATGCTATATTTATATTTCAGCTCAACATGTGTTGATCTATTTCTGCTGTACATCGTACCGGTGAGTGAAATATTATAAATACATATAAAATTGTTCATTTACATTTATAATTACCACTCAACAGATTATATGAAAAATGTTTTACTGTTGATATCGCACAAACGAATTACGTAATGATTATAAAAAATGGCATAACGACTTACTTTGATCCTTATACGAACAATATCTTTTCTCTCTTACATTTTACATTATTTAAAAATCTTTGCGAATCTTGCGAGCGAATTGCTCGTGCAAAAGAGCGAGAATTACGATCGCGTAAATTCGACAGAAAATCGAAAGGGTTAAAGGTTGAAGCGCGATGTAGCATCTGTACATAGGAACATCTTGTACGTAGCGTAGCCTTGCGATATTTACGCGAGGCGTTACATAATTTAACGACTGGTATGTCGCATATGTTAGAGGTCCTGTGAGCGAGCAGCTATAATTTCATCGCAAGGCGGTTATATCTCAAGCGCGACGAAATGTTCAAAATAGTGGTACAGCCGATTGCTTTTAAGGAGGAACACCTCTTGGTACTAGTCGGTCGATTCCTTCCCGCGTTTTCTCCTCTTCCCCGCGAAACGGGTACAATTTATTTCCTCCTTTTTCCTCTGAGAAAGGTTCTTATTTCTCCTCGCGTTTCCTTTCTCGCGTCTCCTTCGAAGAAGTAACGATTAAGCAGCATGGCGAGTTATTCATTGTAATTAGGGAAAGTGTTAATTAATTATAGCTACACCGGAGTGCGCTGTTTAATTTGTAATTGCCGACGATTTAACAGCAACTTATATTCCAAAGTATAATTCTTACTACGATATTGTAATTAAAACAATTTAATTCTTAAGCTAATAGATTGATTTATTTTTAAGTAATAATAATTAAGTGATTTAAGTACACAATTATAAGTAAATTGTGAGACACAATTAATTTACAGATGGGCGATTGCTTGAAAGAATAATTTGACCAAAGTTCGTGTTCAATCGACGCTAAACTGACTGAGTTTTTATTCGTGTTATAACATAATAATTTAAACTCGTATGCATAACGTGCTCAACTCGTAAAGCTGTTTTTGAAGATTTAATTCGGTTTTAATGATTTTGAGGCGTGGACAGGTCCGATCCGGATTTTGAATGATACGCAGATGAGGAAATTAGCCACATCAGATGCCAATTACCTTTCAATCTCTGTTATAAAACGAAAAATTATTTTCTCGTATAATTATGTTTGATATCCCGTAATAAAAATATTACGCAATCGTGTCGATAATTATATTGTGCATACTATTCCATATAAAGAACTATAAATTCATAATATGAAATTAATCAATCTAAAAAGATGTATTTTTATTTAAATTATTTTCTTGATGTGACATGACAGGTTTTTGCTATGATAAATCCATAACATTTTTTTTAATGCTTCCCAATCTAATAGCGCAATATTTTTATTGCTGCAGAGAGAAAATTAACTTGAAATTTTTTAAAGCCGATATCAATATTCATGATACTACGATTATAATAAACATGATTCAAAGGAATAAGGTAAGATTTATATGTTTTGAACTTGTATAAAGAGAGCATATGGAATATAACATAAATCGAGAGAATCCTTATCATATCGTATACTTATCATATCTACTTGCGATCAATTTTATAGTCTCATTATCCGGATTTATTTGTTGATATTTACATATTTCAAAATTTTATACATTTTAATATATGTCACATGTATTATAAAATAATATGGATTATTATCGTTGTAAAACAAATTGTATATAATTTTGGATAAAAATAATTATCTGAATTATATCGATTAAAAATAATCATTTATATAATATTGTGTACTGAATCAAAGACAAGAATTTGATTGATAAGAGAAATAAATTGCTATTTCGGTAAGTAAAAAAACGAAAGGCAGAGACAATACCTGTCGTCTTCGATCTATAATAATTTCTGTCGTCAGATCGCAACATATGATCGGTGACTTTTTCACAGGTATTTCGTTAGAAAAAAAAAACGAAAGGATTTTAGTGGCCATCCGATGTCACTCGTAGCCATTAAAGCTTTCGACAAAAAATGCAAGAAAAAGGCGTATTTTTATTTAAATTGTTTCCTTGACTATGACATGACAGGTTTTTGCTGTGATATATCCATAAAAATTTTTTTCCGCATGCTTCCCAATCTAATAATGCAATATTTTTTATTGCTACAGAGAGAGAATTAACTTGAAATTTTTTAAACACGATATCAATATTCATGCTACTACGATTATAATAAACATGATTCAAATAAGAAATAAGGTAAGATTTATATGTTTTGAACTTGTATAGAGATAAAGCACATATGGAATATAGCAGAAATCGAGAAAATCATACTTATCATATCTACTTGCGATCAATTTTTTAGTCTAATCATCCTGGAGTAATTATACGAAAGAACTCGATAAGCACATTTTTTTTTGCTCTAATTTACTGATAGCGATTATTTAAATCGCTTAACAAGATAATGCTATGACGATAACAGATTTTAATTGCGCGCTCCTAAATAGATTTATTCCTCTATCGACGTCTTATCGTCATTGGCTATTTAAAAAGAGAGAGGTGGGAGTAAGGTGACTGATATAATGCGGGTTAAAGCAACTATGTTAATATCCATAACGGCCCCCGTACTAACACATTGTCAGCAGTCTCGTCAGCAACGACATCCGATGACAAGAACGGAGCGCTTGCGCGCGTACGATAATTCTTTGTAAACGGGTGACGCGATGTAAATGGTTAGTCCGGGACCACCCGCTGGTCCCGTGTAAATACGGCCGTAACGACCAGCGCACACAGGGCACAGGTCGAACAGATCGCAAGCTCGCAGGACAATGGTCGTCGGTGGTGTACGCGCGTTTCGTTTACAATCCGCGCGGGCGGGATAAACTTTCGTGGGAATCTATGTACCCGCAATAAATCGGATAATGCGCAGGAAGCGGCGACGAATTTTTTTTGACACCGGAGCGCGAAGCGGCGGCAAACGGTTGTAAACGGAAAACAAACTGCAAAATCCAAAAGTCGCCGGAATTGCGGCTGTTTTTGCGTCTCGTAACTCGAATCAGGGGATGGGGAATCTCTATATTTGCGTTCGCGCAGCCGGTTGGCAAAATTTTGCCTGCCCAACATCGGAAAGCGAAATTCAATCATGGCTCTTTTATCAATCTGCGTGGATTGCGTCGCGCCGGATTAAGCGATCCCGCTGTTTTCCTACGCTATTTATTTTTTTTTTTTTATTTCGTCGCTTTTGCTTTATGCAGGCGAAAGATTACGTGTGCAAGGCGGCACGTTTCACTGCAATGTACCTATGTTTTACGCGATAAAAGCTCGAGAGATCTAAATTTGACAATCGACACTAAAAATTTGACAATTAAATTGCCAAAGAAAATAGTACGATATCTATGACACCCTCTTTTTATTTCTGCCCGAGTAACTAGACGAATTTAAACGAAGGAAGTGTCTCGTAAAAGCTTAAACGATAATTGTTCAGGCTGAGCGGTTAACGTCGCGCCGAAACTTGAGGACCACTCAACCATTAGCCTTCTCGTCTTCTTCATCTATTCTTCTTGAATTCGGAGTAGTATAAAGTAGTGTATATCCCACTCGGAGAAGGAGGAAAGGGAGGCGAAAGCGTAGGAAACGGGGATGGATAATGCGGTTGTCCGCTGTTAAGACTCACAGCTCTGATTGCGGATCTGCCGGGACGAGCAGAAGTTCCGAGGGAGAGACTGTAGCTTTTATTAGTTTTAAACACGCGTTAAATAAAACTAGGCTAAGCCACGGCCCGGAGATCAACAACGCGCGCGGTTTACGGACGTAAACGTTTCGTAAAGGATCGCGGCGCTTATCGAAGGGTCTAGGGCGACCCTTCTTCCTCCCTTTCGCGCGGGTGGAAGATTTGGTCCGAGAACGTAAGGCTCCCCGAGAGCATTCGAAATCGGGGAAAGTCCGCGGTAAATTGCGGTAAATTGAGCCGCGCCGTTGATCCTAGAAATAATCTCCCGGGCGATGTTCCGGGAAGATCGGGAAGAAGAAGAAGAAGAAGAAGAAGAAGAAGAAGAAGACGACTCCGTCGCACTTCGAGAGTCGTTCGTCTCTCCTCCACTTAACGAAGCGAATCCTTACCGTCCTCCGAGCCGACCCCGAATTGCGAATTAGCGCGAGGCGCGGAACCATTTTTACGAACCGGGTTATATCGACCGGTCAATAAAGCGCCGCTGGGAATTTTCCAACGTTAATGCCGCCATTCGAACGACTGTTGCGAGTCGTTCGCGGGGGAGGTGATGCGAAAGACGCCGTGTTTTCTTTTTTTTTCCCTCGACCTCGTCTCTCTCTCTCTCTCTCTCTCTCGAGCGGAAGAGAAGGAATTCTTTTTCTGTCAGAAAGAGAGTGGCTCTCGTTCCCATGCCCGTCGGATCGATCCCCGTCTTTAATTAGACGGCTTCCTCGTCGCCGCCGTGTCGGTCCCCAAGAGAGCGGAAAGAATCACGAGGCGAGACCGTTCTCCATCTCGCGGAAGTCCTCCTCCTCACAATCAGCGCGCGGATTACACTTTTAATTCATTTTTTTTAACTAACTCGACCGTGTCCTGTCTTACGGGATCGGGGAACGACGATTCATCTCGGGAGAGGAGAGGGCCTGCGAAGAAAGTGAAACGAGGGGTGAAAGAGCCCCGTAACTTCCGAACAAGCGAAATTGTTCCGCATTACTTTCGGCCGTTCTCGTGAAAATAAAAATGAATTTTGCGACATCCCTGACGGGACTTATGTTAATTGTTCGAGAATAAAAACTTTATCGCGCGAGCAACAACGAAATACAATTTAGTGTACGGCCGTTTCAATAATTTCACAATAAGGCGATTAACGGGTTATTATCAAGTTCTTAATTTAAACACAAATCTTTCCTTATATATTACAGTATTTATTTTCGCTATCGATTATCGTATTTGATCGCACATTCGTTTTTCTCGTGAAATATCGCTTATATAAGTATC